CTCTTATGGATAATGTTCCAGTGAACATTTGTGCACAAGTTTTGCATTGGCACTTTTATTTCTCTTGAGTATTCCCACCAGCAACATACGAGACTTCTAATTTTTCCACATTCTCATCAACACTTATTGCCTTTTTTTAATAGCTATTTTGATGGATCTGAAGAAGTATCTAATTATAGTTTTAATGTGTATTTCAAAATGTCCATCAACTGATAAAGAGATAAATAAAATGGTATATGTCTATGTAATGGGAAATTATCCAACAATAAGAAAGAAAGGAAGAAATACATGCTACAATATGGATGAACCTCAAAAGAATCATACTAAGGGAAAGAAGCCAATCACAAAAGACTACATATTATATGATTCTATTTACATCAAACCTCCAAATAAGCAAATCTAGGTAGCAAAGAATAGGTAGTGGTTGCCTAGGTTGGAGGATTGGGTAGGTACAGATGAGAGGGAACAAAGAGTGACAGTTAAAGGGTACAAGGTCTGGTTTTGGCATGATGAAATGTTCTAAAGTTAGGTTATGGTGATGCCTAAAACCACAGAAACCATGAAACCAAATGGTGATGGCTAAAAGTCACAAAAACTAAGACTTGGCTATAGAGAACAAATAAGGTTACTGGAAGGGAGTTGCGTAGGAGTCTGGGTAAAATAGGTGTTGAGGATTACTTGTCGTGATGTATGGCAGTGTTGAATCGCTATATGATATCATACTCCTGAAACTAATATAACACTTGATGTTAACTATACTGAAATTAAAATTAAGGGAAAAAAACATATATAACAACCATACGGTGATATACCAAAAACCTTTGAATTGTTCATTTTAAGAAGATGAATTTTCTGGTATGTAAGTTATATATCAGTAAAATCTATAAAATATGAATTTTAAAATTTAAATAAAAATTAATTAAATAATTAAATATTTAAATTATTTCAACAATTATTTTTGTGGATATTACATTCTGTGTTTCAAAGTTTGTGAGTAATTCAATTATTTACTCAATAAATATGACTGAGAACGTTTAACATGCCAGGTTCTATGGTACATAATAGAACAACAGAAATGAAAGAGAAAAACATTTTCTTGCCATTATGCAGCTTAGAAATTCTTAACACCTCATCAAACATCACTGATTTTTATGTCTTGGTAGAAGAGCCCTTTCTTCAAAGGAACTTTTATGTGTATGAACATGTAAAAGAAGTGCTATTCTTATTGAATCAATGGAGCCTTATCCATTCATCTTGCTCCAAGCCACCTTTCTTATGGGCTCTGTGAAATCTTTTGATTTTTAAAAAATTTATGACACAAGTGAAAATTAGTACACTTTCACATAGTTTTTGGTCCAGTTTTATCTAAACATTTATGATATCCCAAAGATAGATAATGCCATTATATTTATAAGTAAACTTTATAATTCTTCAATTTGTTCTCTTCTGACTTAGATTTAAAAAATGTTTATTTTTGAGAGAGAGTGAGAGAAAGAGAGACAGAATGTGAGTGGTTGAGGGGTAGAGAAAGAGGGAGATACAGAATCTGAAGCAGGCTCCAGGCTCCAAGCTATCAGCACAGAACCCCACGCAGGGCTGAAACTCACAAACCGTAAGATCATGACCTGAGCTGAAGTCAGATGCTTAACCGACTGAGCCACCCGGGCACCCCTCTTATGATTTAGATTTAAAATGTAATTCAGGACTTCTGATGATATCAAATTATGTAATTCTGAGCAGATCAATAATTTAAAAACCCCTGTGACAAGTTCAGAAAGCTTTATAGGCCAATGAAGAAATACTAGACAGGATCTATAAGACAGAAACCCAGAGGGATGAGCTCTGATTTGCGGGGGCATTTTTACACTATACATTATCAGCAAATTTTCAAAGAGGCATCTGAAAAACAGAGACACTGAGTAGAGATTCGGTATTAAAGTAGGTTAGGAAGAACTGCCAAAGAAAGGCCGAAAAACTTTTACTTCCCTATGACTTCCCTGTTGCTCCGTCTCTGCTCACCATAGGCAGATCCACACAATTGCACTTAAAAGTTACACTCTGGAGGTGGCAGTACGGAAAATGAACTAGCTTTTCAGGAACGGAGACTGGGGTTTAATTTTTTTTTAATTTGTGATTTAATTTGTACATTAAATTGATTCAGTATTGTCAGAGCTCTATGATGCCTTCCCAAAAGCAAATGTACATCTTTGGAGAGAGAAAGAGTCTGGTCTTGGGTTTCCAAATATATCTGTATTCATTGATTTTAAGATGACTGTTTACAAAAACCAAATGACAAGTTTGAGATTTTCTTCAGTAAACTGAAATCTATGCTACACAACAAAATGTACATTCAAGAACTGAGAAATACGTTAATTGGAATAAAAAATCTCAGTGGAGGTGTTTAACAGCAGATGGTGGGGGGAACTAGTAAGAACTTGAAAACTGAAAATTAGGTTAATAGGTGCATTGAATTATAGAGAGACAAAAGGATGGAAAATAAGTAAAGAGAAAGAGACATTGGTATTAAGAGTTAAATGGTTTAATGTGTAGAGCTGAAATTCCAGAAGAAATTTTTGTTCCTAGCCATGTTTATAACTTAGTGTCTGTTTGAAATGAACCATGTTAAATTACTAAAAACAACTCTCTCTTTTTAATGTTTATCCATTTTGAGAAAGAGAGAGAGAGAGATAGAGAGAGAGAGAGAGAGAGAGAGAGAGAGGAAACACCAGTGGTGGAGGGGCAGTGAGACAGTGATAGAGGGAGACAGAGAGAATCCCAAATAGGCTTCTTGCTGTCGTACTGGGCCTGACTACATGAGGCTCTATCTCACAACCGGGAGATCATGACCTGAGCTGAAATCAAGAGTTGGATGCTCAACCACCTGAGACACCCAGGCACTCCAACAAGCTCTCTCTTTTAAGTCTGATATATTCTTTACCTTCAGTTGCCTCATATTCTTTTAAAGAACAAAGGAAAGATAGATCTTGTCTTTTGAATGTGTTAGGAGACACCATGATTATTTACTATTTCTTTCTTAGCTCAGTGGTAGGCATAGCCAGGCTAAGTGTGGCCATTCCAACAGAGTCTCCCCTGAAGCTTTCCCTAAAAGGCAGGGTTATTTCTGTTTTCATGGACATTCCATCTTGAGTGTTCAACAAGCAAGTACTAACTGCTTTGTATCATTTTCTTTCTCTCCTATTTCAAATATGATCAAATACATTGATTTTGGTTTCAAACTTTTGGATGGAGTGGGAATAGGAAAGCCTATGGGCTGTTATTTTTGTTAGTTGGTTGGTGGCTTTTGTCTTTTCTTGTTGTGGTTGTTCTCAGTCTTTCTTTTTGATTATGGCTTTGTGCATCAACAGCAAATCTTCTGAGAGACAGTGCTTCCAGCTCAACATGGCAACTGACAATCCTCTTTCCTTTTGTCGTACAGCATCTCTCTCTGTCTCAACTAGCATCATGGACAGAAACTGCACAATGTCAGTGGAATCACAGAACAAAACAAGTTATAGCTCTCTAAAATCAAAACTTCATTCATTTAAAAACCATTTCTCAGGTTTCAAGATGTTATAAGCCAACTTCTTGAAATTGATATAAAAATGCAAAAAAGACATATTGTCTGCTCCCAAGCCAATTGCAGACCAATATAGCAAAGCAGTAAGTAAATAAAGTGTTATGGTACAATAAAGCGGGTTTTTTTTGGATTATATGATGGACAGGATACCACAGAAATATATATGAAATTCACCTTTCATCTTTAATCCTAAAAGTATAGAGTACTACTGTGTATGTTGGTGCTTCATGTTATTCATGTTAGGAAAAATGAAAGCCTGTCAACAAACAACTTCCTCCCCATCTCCCTGCCTCTTTTCCCTTCCAGGACATCCAAAGGGGTAAAATTATCTTTCACTTTGCTACATCTAAGATGATTTAATCACTGAAATCCTAGAAATGCAAATCTTTGTTATAAGCTCTGATGTCCAACTACTAGACAGAGTCTATAGTCACTATCTTTCATATGGACATCCTGTCCTGCGAGTGGCATTTAATTTGGAACATTTTCATTACAGTAGCAAATTGGCAGGCAACCAAGAAAAATGACAATTTCTATGGAACAAAATATGTGGATTGTGGGGAGGTGGAGGAGGAGGATATACAGCAGATGGGGGTAATGAGACTTATTACATAAAGTTCCTGCTACTAATAAGCTCCATAATGTATCTGAGGCAGTAAAGGTTTCCAGGGGCTAGTGGCCTGTTCCTAATGATTCTTTGGCTGAAAACCTGACCTTCATTTTAATAGAACTGTATAAATATCAGCTTTATCCCTTTCTTGGGAATTTCACCAAGTTGTTTTAACTAGAGAAGGCTTCTAATATTAAATAAAGTTGCCTGGGGAAAGATTAGAGATTATTATTAGCATTCAGTCTTAACGAGGCAGCTAAATATTGTGTCACCATTTAAAAGTGAAGCATGCAGTTTTATTATTTGTTGATTGATGAGTCTTGAATTTCGAAAGCATTCTGTAACTTTGTAACTCATAGCTTGATAATCCTACCAATCTTTATATATTTACACACACACACAGTTGTAAGAGATTCTCAGCATGAAACATATTTAAATATTCAGTGAATGGACAACTTAATCATGTAATTTTTCAGGATAAATAGGTAGTCCATAAATGACCCAGGATGCCAAAAATTGTGGGAAGGCTCAGATTTTACCCCACTTGCAAACTAAAGTGTTAGTCTGCCACATTTTCATGGATGTTGGCTGAAGACCTAAGACTCCTGGTCTGAGACCAAGGCCTTTATTACTCATGGCAGAGAAAGCAATATGAGCATTAACATATTTACATTAGTTCACCTTGTCTGAACTCCTGCAGGGCCAGTGGGGATGGCATAGATGGATGCCAGCAAATAAAATGGACTGTGTTACAAAAAAGGAATATTAAGCTTAGGGAAACTAGCTCTTTTAATAAATAGTAAGAATGCTTACCCTCTTCTCTGAAGGAAGACATCATCTTCATCATACTAGAGGGAAAATACACTTGTCTTTTCCTCTGAAGGAAGGCACTGTATCTTCCAACATTGTGCACTATGCAAACATCTTTCAAAATATAGACTGAAAAAATATTTTTAATGAAGGGAATTGAATGTCTTGATTACAAGAAATAAATAAACATGAAACATGATAGACACGCAAGTATTGTCTCATTAGCATGCCACTTAATGATTCTGATTATCTGCCCTACAGAGACTGGGACATATCTGTTCCATTGTCTCATGTAACATTTAACTAAGGCTACTGTCAACAGGTCTCCAAGTTTCAGGGTGAAGCTAATTTTAAGTACTGACCTCAATGTCCCAGAGAAAATGAATCAAACAAATCCCATAAAGCACCCAAGTCTACCTTAAAAAGCCATGTGACTTTCTCATTAAATTTCTGTACCAACATTTCCACCTTCTCCAAGTACTAATTCATATTGAGAAAGTTGTTTTAGCAATTGCATGGGTCCCATTATGGCCTAATACGGTAAGTTCAGGGCAATTTCATCATTCATAACAATTCTGTAGAAGAAGTTGAAGCTGACCTGAACTGAATGCCTTCTAGTGCCAAAGTCCTACCACTGAAAATTTCATCCAAAGTCAGGGACAAATTCCATGGAACTTTTTTTTTTTTTTTTTTAACCGAGTAACTTCCATTATTGAATAACTCTCTGTAGGATGCACATGAACGACGTGTTTGGTTTTATTTTCAGGCAGATTGCCTAAACAGCCAAAGATAGCCTCATTTTGGAAAGACCTTTCCAGTTTACCCGTTACTGGAAGGCTAGATAATCTGCTAGTGTTTACCTAAATATTTGAAGACCTCTGCAACCTCAAGTAAGAAGCAAATCATCATGTTTCCAACAAGGAGGCAAGTGACTGCCTGGTGTTCCACACGAAAAAGTACAGTCCTGACGAAGCACTTCTGGTCACCCCCGAAAACAAAACAAAAAAAAAGCTGTATTTTCAGTTGTTAGAGCGTCTTCCGTGTGACCTTTTATCAGTTCAGGGAACACACTGACATTGAGGGCACCACAAAGCTTCCAATGCGATTTCTGGAAGGATATGGTATTTCAAATATCTGAGTTACACCTTTCATTGTAACGTGCTGGTCGTGAGAGCCCTGGAACAGCCGCGAAGGCTTAGCGACAAACAGGCGGCTTGCGCACGCGGGAGCTGCGCCGCAACCACACTCCCGAGAGGATGCCTGGTCTCGTGGGATCTCTAGAGGTACGGGTGCCCGCAGGCGGTCCTAGGCCGAGAAAAGCGCCCGTGGCGGGGGCGGCCCTGAACGCCTCATCCCCGGCTTTGCGCAGTTTGCCTCACAAAGTACTCCGTGCTCATGGACTTCCCCACTTCACACAGTCAGAGTCACAATGGGGCCGTGCCTCGCCCTGGAGGTTCGCCCAGTGTGGAGAACCAAAGCTGCGCCCAGCGGGCTCCCCCACAGCCGTGCACCGGGGAGCAAACGGCACAAGCGCCGGCGGCGAGCCTGCAGCCCTCAGCGTGTGCTGCGGCCGTCCAGCCCTGCCGGTACGTGCTGGCGGAACCGAGTCCTGTCCCCTCACCGGCCCACGCTGTTCGAACTGTGGGCACCAGCGTGGAGATGGCATCTGGAGTTGACCTGCTTTGTGTGGTGAGTACGGAGGCTGGGTACCCTCCCTTGCTGTTTCCGAAAGATGTCTCCGTAAAATTAAGACGGTGATCAGATCGTGGTCGGTGAAACCTGTCAGGGAACGGCAAAGTTTGAAAAGTGTCCGCAGGGTTTGGGAGATTGCTCCAGTGCTTTCCATTTTTTAATGAAGGTTTTGTGAACTTAAAAGAGATAGATGATTAGTGTTTTTCCATTCCTCCAGGCTTCTCTGGATCTAAAGCACCTCTGATGTTTCCCTCTCCCTTCCCATAAAAGTCAGTGTGTCTCATTCCAATAGGTATAACCTCATCCTTATTTATTTATTTATTTTTTTTGTTCCCAAATCATTCCCTACTCACATGAAGACATTTCATCTGCTGTAGTCAATTCAAGGACAAAGAAATTTATTTTATTTTATTTTTAATTTTTTAAATGTTTTTATTTATTATTGAGAAAGAGAGAGACAAAGCATCAGCATGGGAGGGGCAGAGAGAGGGGGAGACACAGAATCTGAAGCAGGCTCCAGGCTCTGAGCTGTCAGCACAGAGCCCTACATGGGGCTGGAACTCACAAACCATGAGGTCATGATCTGAGCCGAAGTTGGAAGCTTAACCGACTGAGCCACCCAGATGCCCTAAAGACAAAGAAATTTAAACATGTACAGAATTATAATATGATCTTACTTTGGCTCGTTACAGATTGACCAACAGTGTACTTGACTAAGTAGTCATTATTATCTTTGTGATCCAGAACTCTTTTAGTTAAACAAAATAATCTAGATGGCCTAATCGAGAATTAAATTTGGATGCTTTCGGCCTTCTTTTGGCCAACCTGACATCTAACAGGCTGATTTAGTTGAGGAAGAGAAGGAAGCATAATATCCCAGAATGAAATCCCGAATTTTTAAATAGATTTTTATAATTTCCCACCCCTTTTGTTCTGATCATTAACCAGGAAACAGTGGAAGTGACTGTACCCATCTTGGGGATAGATGCATAGAGTGACAAAACTTCCTTACTAAACAACAAGGAAAATTTTGTCTTGGGAGAAAATCACGAGGTTGTGAAATGAAAACAATCACTTTCTGTTTGTTTGCCTTAGTAAAATAACCTAGTTCTAAATTAAACTTGAATTAATCTTTCTGTTTTATACTTCAATGAAAAAGAAATTTTCAAACATTGGTTTAAAAATCAAACATTGTATACAATGGAAATATTATAACATCTGCCCTAAATAAAGAGGCTGTATATTATGCTGTGAAGAACATTGAACCTGGCTCTAGTTGTGTCTTAAAAAATTCTATTTGCTTCTCTATACATGTTTCCCTATTTGTGAAATGTAGGGACTGGAGAAGCTGGTCATTAACAGATCTTAATATCTTAAACCACAGATAAATAGCTTCTGGAGAGTTTTACTGGACTTGCATTTACTTCCCTGTAACAAATATAAATAATTTATAAATAATTGGGTGATTTTGTCTACTCAGATTATTTGGCTGGAAATTCAGAAATATCTCTCTCTTATTTTTTTTGTACTGTATACATTTCCTAGTTTGTACTCACAATGATGACACAGTATCATGGTATATTTTATCCAACTTTATTGAGTTATAATTGATCCATAACACTCTGTAAGTTAAAGGTTGATCCATAGTATTGTAGTGATTTGATACATAAAAATATTCTAGAGTGATTAGCACAATAAAGTAAGTTAAGGCATCTGTCATTTTGCATAATTACTTTTTTTCTTTTCTGTGGGTCTGAGAACATTTACAATCTCTTAGCAACTTTCAAGTATATAATACAATATTACTAACTTAGTCACCATACTGTACATTAGATACTCAGAATTAATTTACCTTACATCTGGGAATTTGTACCCTTTGACCAACACTTCTCCATTTCTTTCATCCCCAGACCCTAGCAACTATTATTCTGCTGTCTGTTTCTATGAGTTCAGCTTTTAAATTCCACATATAAGTGAGAGTATATAATATTTGTCTTTGTCTGACTTAGTTCACTTAGCATAATGCCCTCAATGTACATCTGTGTTCCCACATATGGGAGGATTTTCTGTTTTATGACTGAATAATATTTCATTGTGTATATATACTGCATTATTTTCTCCTTTGATTTCATTATTGGACATTTAGGTTGTATCTTAGTTATTGTGAACCATGTTGCAGTGAACTTGGGGGTGCAGATATTTTGAGAGAGTGCTTTTGTTTCCTTCAGCTGTATACCCAGAAGTAGAATTGCTAAATTATATGGTAGCTCTATTTTTATTTTTTTATTAATCTACATACTGTTTTTCATAGTGGCTGAACAAATTTATATTTCTCGACACAGTGCTAGCTGAACAAATTTACATTCCCACCAACAGTGTACAGTGTTCTTTTTCTCCTTCTCCATGCTAACTTTTGTTATCTCTTGTCTTCTTGATAATAGTCATTCTAAGAAGTATTAAATGATAACTCATTTTGGTCTGTATTTGCATTTCTTTGATGATCATTGGTGTTGAGCATCTTTTTATGTACCTGATGGTCATTTGTATGTCTGCTTTGCAGAAATGGTTGTTCATATTTTCTGCTTATTTTTAAATCCATATTATTTGGGAGTTTTTGAGTTGTATGAGTTCCTACATATCCTACATATTTTTTATTTTAACTCATTAGCTGATAGATGGCTTGCAAATATCTTTTCTCATTCTATAGGTGACCTTTTAATTTTGTTGATTTTCTCTTTTGCTTTGCAGAAGCTTTTTAGTTTGATATGGTCCCACTTCTTTTTTCTTTAATTTTATTTTAATGTTTTTAAAATTTATTTTCGAGAGAGAGACACACACAGCATGAGCAGGGTAGGATCAGAGAGAGCGGGAGACACAGAATCCGAAGACAGCTCTGAGCTAGCTGTCAGCATAGAGCCCGATGTGGGGCTTGAACCCATGAACCGTGAGATTATGACCTGAGCTGAAGTTGAACGCTTAACCAACTGAGCCACCCAGGCACCCCTGTGGTCCCACTTCTTTATTTTTTTTTAATTTTGTTGCTTATGCTTTTGGTGAAACATCCAAGAAAATCATTGCCAAGACCAATGTCAAAGAGCTTTTCCCCTATGTTTTCTTCTAGGAGTTTTACAGTTTCAGCTCTTAAACTTGTAAGTCTTTTATCTATTTTGAGTTAATTTTTGTAAGTGGTATAAAATAAGGGTCCAGTTTCATTCTTTTCATGTGACTATTCAGTTTTCCCAACACCATTTATTGAAAAAAAACTATCTTTTCCGCTTTGAGTATTCTTGTTTCCCTTGTCAAGTATTAGTTGATAGTTTTGGTGAATTAGTTTATAAATATATGCCTAGCATTCTTCTAATGAAGTGGTTAGGGAACAAATGGGAAAGATATAGAGGAGGAAAATATGACAAAGGAAATATTAAAAGAGAATTTTTTTTCCCTTCTCATGTGCCCCTATCCATTTTTCTAGAAACTCGGTCATGGTACTGGTACAAGTCCCTTGGTGTTTCACTTACTCTCAGTGGTTTCCCTTAGCTCTGCTTAAGTCTTTGAAACATAATCCCTTTATTAAAGTATCTTGATGATACCATTGAAGATATCATGTTTTCTCTCAGGCCTCTGGTGTTGGTAGTTTGACATAATTATCACCAGTAACAGTAAAGAATTCAAACATATAGAACTATATGACTTGTGTAATATCTGTTTGATGAGTCATAAAACAAGTACTAGAACTAAGATCTAAGATCTCATTCTAGTGACCTTTCTTTTAACCATGGTGGCTTTTTTCTTTAATTTTCTTGGCCTCACCTCAGTTTGCTTATCTAAATGTTTTGAATGTGAAATTATTGAAGTAAATCCTACTAAGAATGTTCCCTCTCCTAAAATTAAATGATTTAATAATACTAGTCAGTGTAATATTTTGTACTATGGATCCACAAGAGTATTCTGACATTCTCCATATCCTAGGGGTACCTAAATACACCATTGAACGTAAGTCTTCTACCTTAAATTGTTATGTTCTTGAATCCCCCATCTGTTGACTAAAAGCAGATTTTTCTACATGATTGACTTCATTGTTTAATTTGAAGGCAGCATTTATGACTGCCAATTCTAAATATCTTCAGTGAGTTTTGTTTTCCATCTACCTATGCTGGCCCTCCTCCCCATTCCATGGCAATTTATTAAGTAAGAAAAACTGAAGTTAATATTAGGCTAGTTATATTTTAAATTTTTATGTTTATTTTTATTTTTGAAGGAGAAAGAGAGCGCGATGGAGCATGAGTGGGGGAGGGGCAGAGAGAGAGAGGGAGACACACAATTCGAAGTGGGCTCCAGGCTCTGAGCTGTAAGTACACAGCCCAATGCCAGGCCCAAACTCACAAACTGTCTTTGGAAAGACACAAACTGAGATCATGACCTGAGCTGAAGTCGGACTTTTAAGTGACTGAGCCACTCAGGTGCCCCTAGGCTAGTTATACTTTAAAAAAAATATGTGTTAAATCCAAAATTCAGCAACAGATATCTTGCTTTATTATTAATATATCAGTGTTATTCTTTCTGAATGTTTTATAAATACAAAAATTACCACTTTTTTGGTATATATAATTTCTAGTGTTTCTTTC